AAGCCATAGCGACGTCGTCAGGTAACAGCTTCTCTCTAGCCTGAGCTTGAAGTTGAAGATGGGGGATGGCCCTAATTGGGCCGAAGACAAAGTAACCCAGGGCTCATTATTGGGCCATGATATATTGTATTTTTTGGGCATTTGACCCAAAAAAAAGAGTAATTCTATTTTACTATATATTCTAAAGCAGCCGCGTGTTGAAGCTTGTTAAATAATGCTTTTGAAAAGACTAAAAGTATGTTTCTGACAACCAAAAAATCCTATAATTAAAGCTTTTGGCGGGAAATCTGAAAAATACTTATGGGTTATAAAGCTTACGTGAATGTTTAACAATATCTCAATGTGCTTATAATAAAAGAGTTCCTAGCAAAGTACGTGTTTTCTATAAAAACAGTTCCGAAAGGAGGAAAAGTACTTACGAGCAAAGTGTTTTCTATAAAAACAGTTCTGAAAGGAGGAAGAGAGCCTCAAGAAAAGGAGATTTCTTTGGATTTCTATGTTTGTTATTAAAATTCCCCTATTCCAATTGAATTTATGCTCTAAACTCTAAGATTTAAGGTCAATAAACATAAGGTAGGCCATATTAATTACCGAAAATGAGAGAACAACCAAATCATCTTAAAATTGAATTGGAACCATCACCTTCCATCTAATCATTTCCTAAGCAACACAATAAGGCACCTGCAATGCAATGCAATGACAATTGTGGTGGGGAGATTAAAATAGAAAAGAAACGAAATAGAAATACACATTATCTTTTAAATTTTTTCTGTCAATCGTGTCGTTATGTGATTGGTGCTATACATTATAAAAAATACATACCAGAATAAATAATAAATAAATAACCATTTTTATGTCCTAGAAAAAAAAAAAAAAGGGGTGAAAAAAGGGAAAATAAACAAACAAACAGAAAAGAAAGAAGAACCGCTGAAAGAGCGCCTTTGGGTACGGTGCATGTAGATAGGCCCTCACAGCTCGTAGCGTTTGTGGACGCAAATTCTCTCATTTATTTAACCAAAAAAATACGAAGCACAAATTCTTCGCCAGCCTCAATTAACCGAACAAATGTGAACAAAATACAGAATCTAATTCAGTCGGTTTCCAATTCCACATCTTCTTTCCTCTTTCCAGGATTTTCTTTCCTCCCAAACAAACCTAAATAAATTGGGAAAAAAAGGGAAAAGAACAAAATCAGTGCCGTTGATTTGGGCCTATAAATCACAGCCACGAGCTTAGGGTTAGCGTTAAAGAGTCGGCTTAGCCTTTAGCTCACGCCGTATATTCAAAACCATATGTTAATACATACAAACATTTGCATTCCAATAAGTTGTAAGTTTCTGCTGCAGAAGAAGAAAACCAAGGTCTTTTTCTCTTACAGTGCGTGCGTGCCCTCTATTACAATCTGGCTAAGGAAAGGTCAGATCTTTGTTTCTGCAATTCGTTTTCTCCATCTTTCTTTTATGGGTTTCTGATTTTTTATTCTTATTTATAACAAACACATGTTCTTGTTGTTGTTTCTTTTCTTTTTTTACTTATCCTGTATTGGGTTGTGTTTGATTTTCAGTTTGTCACCAATTTCAATGTTAATTATCCTTACTGAGCATTTCCAAGTATGTTTATTTTTTCTTTTTCCCATCTAGCCATCTGAAGGAGCTAATTGTTTATGCATTCGAATTGTTTTATTATTTTATATATTGCTTTTGGTTTATATATTGCAACAACAACATAAAGAATTTATGATCAATTTATATGATTAGCACATTATACTTTTATTAGAGCTTTAGTGTGTATACAAGCAAGCATGAGATTTCACTCCATCTTTTGGCATGGATTCTTGCAAGTTCATGTTGTGTTGTTGTACCTCAAATTGAAATTATAACCCATTATGTTATATTCCTGTATTGTTTCCCTGGGCGTTACATATACTTTGAAGTCACTTTTTTGTTTTTCCTTATGTTTCTCAGGCCAGCAGCTCTTGTGTATGTTCTGGTTGGGGTTCCCCAATTGACCGATAATTTCTTTCAGTCTGGCCGCTGCAGCAAAATTAATTTCTTCTCGCACCTCTAAAAGGGTGTGGGGTAATAATGAGAGAGTGATTTTGCTTTGTGTTTTAAGGAGATCAAGATCATCACACATCTGGAGATTGTGCCGTGTTTCAGTGGGTTTGTCGCTTGATTATGGCTAAGGCCATCCAGGGTTAAACTTTTGGAAGCTTGATGGTAGTTCGTCAGTGTACGTAACAAGATCATGTTCATTCGAGCTTCCAGACAATAATGAGCACAATAGTTTGCTGTTGATAGTTTTCGGTGTGATCGAAAGTAGTTAATGTGTTGATGTAGCCCTGGTACTTTGCCAGTAATGGTTAGGTTTTCATGTTTCCAAGCTCACGTCCATTGCCCCAAACCTAAGGTAAGTGGAACAATCATCACGTTTGGTCATCAACACTTGTGATTTATTATGATTAGTTTGATGATTCATGGCTTATTTTGATTCCAAGTCTTGTTTTTCAAACAGAAAACTCTTCAACCTTCAGTTGAAGCAATGCATAAAACATTACAAGTTTGTTCTCAAAATCAAGCTTTGAAGAATTCATCTGGCAAAACAAGCTTAAACCTATCACAGACAGAAGGAATTTCTCAAGTTAATAGCAGTTTAAAGCATGTATCTTCTCTTGAAGCTGATTGGAAATCAGGTGATATGGAAAGCAGCTTCATTAAAGAAAGTGACCTCAAGGTTACTCAGACAGGGCGCATTATAAAGAGTAGGTCACTAGGAAGTGCATTATACCTGAAGGGGAGGGCTTCTGCTAACAATGCCGCCGAGGATGAGACTGATCAAGGAATTTCTTGTGATGATTCTCAGGATCACAATGGATTGGTGGTACCAGATGGAAGTAGGGACAGAGGAGAGAGCACACCTGAACAATGTCAGACAAGTCCTACATCAGACTATTGTCAGGTACGTTCTGGAATTGTCAATAATGAATCAATTTTCTCAATCGGAGAACCATTACATACAGAAAAGGAAGGCCCTGAAAATTCTGATACTCCACCATCTGGAGAGTTCGGTATTGACTCTGGTGACCATACACCTCGTGCACCACAAGGGCTTGTTAAATCACATTCTTTTGCAAACATCAGTGCTTGTTCTCCGACTACCGAGGGGCATTCTCCTATTAACTGTTTACCAGTGCATTCAAGATCTTCTGAGGACCTACATGTCTTAGGCATACAACGGAAAGGGGTGTCAGTTCATGAGTCTGAAATTCAGGTAATACAAGAAAAGGATGATGATATCGGGGGTAAATCTGAGAACCGTAATTTTGAAAACTCCATTGATGATGGTTATGATTCCTGTAACTACTCTGGTTGTGCAAAGGACTGGATAGTGCCAGCTACAGATGAGGTACGCACAGAGAAAAACCTCCAAGGAGAATCCTCAGTTCAAAGTTGGAATGAATTGCCAAGCAAGGATTTTAAGGTTAAGCGCATTGAGGAATGGGTTAATAATCTTCAGCATAGCAGCCCGTTGGAAGAAACAAATGAATTGCCCCAATCTAATGATCAGGTGAAGAGAGACTCCAATGACTCAAATGGTTTGGTTGCTGCTAAGACGGATGCTAAGGTCACTCCTGGCATGGAAGCTGCTAAAAGATATATATCTTCTTTGAGTGCAGCTGCTACCACAGCTCACCTGGCAAATCATGGACTAGTAGTGATCCCATTTCTTAGTGCTTTTGTAAATCTGAAGGTGGTCAATTTATCTGGAAATTCCATAGGTTTGCCTCTCTAAACTCATCTGTTCCATTCGAATATTTATCATTGTTCTTTCGGTATGCTTTTTTGCTCATTATGTTTGCATAATCGCTGCAGTGAGGATAACTGCTGGTGCTCTTCCTAGAGGACTTCATATGTTGAATCTGTCGAAAAACAATATTTCTTCCATTGAAGGTTTGCGTGAACTCACAAGACTTCGTGTCCTGGACCTGAGCTACAACAGGATTTTGAGAATTGGACATGGTAGGTGCTTGCATTGAATTATATAATTCTCAAAAAGTTGCTGGCTTTCTTGTTTATTACCCCTGAATAGTTCATGTCATAACTTAATTTTTTTCCCCTTTTTTAAGGCCTAGCTTCTTGTTCCTCTCTAAAGGAGTTGTACTTGGCTGGAAACAAAATCAGTGAGGTGGAGGGTCTTCATCGCCTCTTAAAACTGACCGTTCTGGATCTGCGTTTTAACAAAATCTCGACAGCAAAGTGCCTAGGTCAGCTTGCAGCTAACTACAACTCCTTGCAAGCCATCAGCTTGGAAGGAAACCCAGCTCAGAAGAATGTTGGAGACGACCAATTGAAGAAGTATCTGCAAGGACTTCTTCCCCACATGGCTTACTACAACAGGCAGCAGATCAAGAATAGCAGTCTGAAGGATGCCGCAGATCGGTCCGTGCGGTTAGGCATTAGTAACCACCAGTTTGATCGTGGCCTTAGACCAGATCACAAGGCTCCAAGGAAGGCTAGCCATGGTGTATCATCTCACAGGCCATCAACTTCATCAACTCACGGCCATGGAAATCAATCTGTAGTGCCGCCGAAGAAGTCCAGGGCTCGTCATGGGCACCTCCCTCCCAGTGGAACTAAAGCATCGACACATAGTCGACATCACTACTTTGATTTAGGCAGCAAACTTATGAACCTCAAACAGGACCTCTCCATGCGCAGGAGTCGGAGCGAGGGAACTATGGCAGCTATGTGAGGTTTTATTTTCATGCTTTGTAGTGGTTCATACATTTTGTTGGGTTTTGGTTTGTGTTTGGATTTCTATGTTTGCATTATGTATTAACTTTGTGATATTTTTATTTTTCTGCGCTTTCTGAACACCCTATTAGTTTGTTAAATGGTTGAATTTATTTTGTTCAAAGATGTTGGTTGTGTTGGAAATTGCATCATCCTGCTTGTTTTGAACAAGATCAATGAACGATGCTCAAACAAACAGTAGAGATATTGGTTTGCATGAAATCAATATCAAAAGAGAGGGTAATTTTACACACAATTTACAGTTTACTATGAGAACAGAGGCAGCAAAGTAAAGAACAATTTACACCTTTCATAATTACAATAAGATTTAACCCATGCAAAACCCTTCAACTTCTAACCCATGCAGCCCTGTTTGCCTTCTCAAGCAATTTCTGCAACATAAAAGAACAAAAAATAAATAAAAATTATCCAGACTACGTCAATTTTCAGTCAAGTAAATGATAAATATTTGATGATATATAGCCAGTCAAACCTTGAGGGTCTTCTTCACCGGAATCGGCGTCACTGAGCTCCTCCTGGTCCTCCTCAGGCACCGGGTGGAGCTCGACCGGGTTAGGGCCATTGGGTTCGGACCCGTCCGAGTCATCCGGAAACCTCACCACCACAACTGGGCAAACACAGTGGTGGACGCAGTAATCGGTGACGCTGCCGAGCCGGCCCACCTTGGCGGCTCGCTTGGCGGCGCCGAAGCCGCGGCTGCCCATAATGACGACGCCAAGCCGGAGCCTCTCGACTTCCAAGCCAAGCCGCCCCTTCACGTCGTTGGTTGTGGTGAAGGCGTCGAAGTCGTCTTCCAGCTTCCGCCGGGACTCGGAGGAGGAAACGGCGTCGTTGGGGAGGTTGGGGTTGACAGAGCCCCAGTCGGCGCCGTAGAGGACGCTCGTGGGGCGCACGTGGAGGAGGACGACGGAGTCCCCTGGCCTGAGGTAGTTCTGTACGGCCCATTGGACGGCGAAGGCGCTCTCCTCGCTTAAATCGACGGCGATCGCGACCTTCCGCTGGTCCCCGCCGGAGGCTGTTGGGGCTGCGCTGGTTAGCGGGAAGCGCGAGGAGGAAGGTTGGATGTCTACGGACGGTGGTGGATTCATTGTCGGCAGCAATAACGGTTTTTGGTTACTAATTTGGATACTTGGTGGGATGTTATGCTATACTATTTGATGAATCTAAATATCCAAAAACAAAAAAAACAAAAAAACCAGAGGTTGATTTCTATTTTAATCAACAATGGTCATGAAGATTTAAACATCCTTGCAAGTGTTGATTTATAATGGAGGATGATGACTCAGTGAGGGACAGGGATGCGTAATTGGCCTCATGATGCCCATGGTCAGCGGAGAGATAATGTTTATGTTCCTATGATCTGTGAATTGATGTAACTGCAACCATTGCCGGGAGGAGCTGATAATGACATGTTTGTCTGTTTTGGATTAAATAATGCATACGTGTGGCCCGTGTGATTCAGAACCTCATGTCGTTATTAGTTGATTAAACGGAGGTAAATTCTGAGAAGGAAGCATCAGAAGCGTACAAATACTTTTGTAATGGGCTCATTGGATTTGAGTTGAAACTTGAAAGAGAGAGGTTGGTGGATTGTAGCTGCTGGACAAGAAGCCAACGATTCATTTGGGCCGAAACGGGGAAGGTAAGATCAGTTTGTCTTTCACTGCGAGTTAGGCCTTTGAGGACCTAGACACGAACGGCCTTTTACTTTCGAGCTCGTTGGCAGCTATCAAAATGTCAATTATAATGAAGCTGGATAATAGCTGTAAAGTCTCATGTCCATATCCACCCAAGCCAACCTACCACTATTTTTTCGTCCAAAAAAAAACCTAGTCACTATTTTGGTGTTAAATGACAAAGAAGATACACCTAGCCCTGCTTTCTTATTCCAGGCTAATTATATTTATTAGTTTCCTAGTATATGTTGATAGTGGGATTGAACCACTCAAATAAGCTGCTTACTCTAAACTCCTCATTATAGTCTTTTAGTGACTTGAGGCACCAAACATCATCTCAAATTTATGTTCACTAATTTTTTGGGAAGATGCCAACATGTCAGTATTTCAGTGGTAAGAGCATTTGCTAGCATATTAGTAATTACAGGTTGAAATCGCAATGCACCTTCCATTCCCCTTTCCAAACTTTGACAACAAAAAAATAAATTAAATTCTGAAAAAGTAACATGAAAATTTATATGATTTATCACATCATCATCAGCAGTATGGTTCATTTATATTTATGCTGCATGTTTGTTAATAAATATCCCAAATTGATCATTCATATATACCAATTGTAAGAGACATTGAGGCCCCCGAAGACCTATCAAAGACTATTAATTAAACCTCCCATGCTCCTGCAGTAATGCACAAGTTAAGTTAGTAGTGGTGGAGCACAATTAACGCTCTCCTTATATTTATATTTCTGCCAACTAGCTAAAAAAGCTTGACCAGAGGTCAAGATAGAACCTAGCAACAAGCAGGGCTGCGATGAATGAGTCTTTATTATTGGACTTTTCCCTTCAAGTGCTAAGGTTGGTTTCAACATTTATCACCAAAAAAAAGAACAGATGAAATGAACGGCTGAGATTGCTTCCGTATGAACCCAACCAGTGATGATTTTCTATCTGATGAACCGCCAGCCACAAGTTTCCTTGGTTGGAAAAATATTTGCCTCTGCCATGGAAGAAAGGATACAAGTTATTACAACCACCACCCCAAAGAAAAAAAAAAAAAAACAGCAATAAAGCACAAATCCAGCAAAGAAAGTGACTGTGTAGCCTTTCCAACACGGTAAAACAAAAGGAAAATCTAGCCAATGGGTCCAGGTTTCAAACTTTTTGTTCATCTGTTGGTGGGTAGATAGTAGAATTGGTCATGACTGAATTCTTATTGACTGTTGAAGAAGGTATATAAATTTGCTCAAACGTAAGTAAGGCGCTGTTCATTTCTATATTACCATAATAATGAAACAATTGAAACGCAGATTGATTGACTTGGTCCGTTGCGGCTGACAAAGCTACAAACGGCATCAAACTCTGTTCATACATGCATGGTTTTCTGGTCCAATCTTATTGCATGGTCTGTTCATACATGGTTTTCTCCAAAGGTGACAAAATTTTACTTGCAGACTGTATGTGACAAAATATCATCGCGCCATTTGTTTTTGCCACAAATGGCACGATGATGACTTGCCGCACAGCTGCCCAAGTCCAATCTCCACCAAATGACCAAAACCATGGGGTAGAATAGAAAATTCAACTCCACTCTCTCTCCCTCTCCCTCCTTTATTTAAAGTTCAAATTCTTGGTGCAATACATAATCTAGAACTTGTCTGCAAATTGGTTTTGTACAGCCATGGATGCCAAACCAAAACAAAGATTGGTGCTTTTTCTTTGCTTATGCCTACATCTCAAAACCCATGTTTGCCTTGCGGCTGACACCATCGCTGCAAACCAATCTCTCTCTGGTGATCAAACCATTGTCTCTGCAGAAAAGGTTTTTGAGCTGGGTTTCTTTAAACCAGGTAATTCTTCAAACTACTACATAGGCATGTGGTACTCTAAACAACTAGTATCTTCGGAGACCATAGTTTGGGTGGCAAATAGGGAAACACCAGTTTCTGATAGATTTTCTTCAGTCTTGAGGATCTCAGATGGTAATTTAGTTCTCTTTAATGAGTCCAACACTCCAATTTGGTCCACAAATTTAGCCTCCAACACCACCTCAGGTTCTGCAGAAGCAGTTCTTTTAAGTAGTGGAAACCTTGTCTTAAGAACTGCTGGGTCTAATGCTAATACATCAGAGCCTTTGTGGCAAAGCTTTGATCATCCAACTCATACATGGCTACCAGGAGCTAGAATTGGATTCAACACTGTCACCACTTCATGGAAGAGTTCAGAGGATCCTGCACCAGGTCTTTTCACTCTTGAGCTTGACCCCAATGGAAGTAATGCATATCGCTTACTTTGGAATAGGTCTAGACAGTATTGGAGCAGTGGAGCATGGGATGAAAAGTTACGTATTTTCAGCGGGGTTCCTGAGATGAATCGTAACTATTTCTACAATTTCAGCTTTGTTAAAAACAAAAACGAAAGTTATTTCACCTATTATATTTATAATACTCAGTTAATATCTCGATTCGTGTTGCATACCTCAGGGCAGATTCAGCAACTCTCATGGTTGGAGAATTCCGGCAAGTGGAATTTTTTTTGGAGCAAACCAGGAAAGCGATGTGATGTTTATGATTTATGCGGGGCATTCGGCAGTTGCAACGAGGTAAGCCCGGTCTCCTGTAATTGTTTGACAGGTTTTGAGCCAAAGTTGCAGAGGGATTGGAATTTGCAGGCTTATTCTGGTGGGTGTAAAAGAAAAACCCCTCTGCATTGTGAGAATGCTACTAGGGCTGACGGGAAGCAAGACCAGTTTCTCAAAAAGCCTGGGATGTCATTGCCTGAAAATGAGCAGTCTGTGAAGGTTGAGACTATTGCTGGATGTGAATCAATCTGCTTAAATAATTGCTCTTGCACTGCTTATGCTTATAATAGCAGTGGATGTTCAATTTGGATAGGAGACCTCTTCAATCTGCAAGAACTCACATCAAGTGATAGTCGGGGAATAACTTTGTACCTCAGACTTGCAGCTTCCGAGTTTAAGAGTCCTAAAAGCAATAAGGGATTGATTATTGGTGTTGTGGCAGGCTCAGCTGCTGGAATAGCAGTTCTCTTAGGCCTTATTGTGGTTGTAATCTTGAGACAAAGAAAGAGAGTGACTGGAATGGGAAAAGCAGTAGAGGGTTCATTGGTGGCCTTTGGGTACAGAGATCTGCAAGATGCAACAAAGAACTTCTCAGAAAAATTGGGGGGAGGAGGCTTTGGTTCTGTTTTCAAAGGGACCCTGCCTGATTCATCTGTCATAGCAGTAAAGAAGCTTGAAAGTGTCAGCCAAGGAGAGAAGCAATTCAGAACTGAAGTGAGCACAATAGGGACAATTCAACATGTCAATCTTGTCCGGCTTCGCGGGCTCTGCTCTGAAGGTACAAAAAGGATGTTGGTCTATGATTACATGCCGAATGGATCATTGGATTCTCACCTTTTCCATGATAAGCGTCCAAATGTTTTGGATTGGAAAACAAGGTACCAAATTGCTCTGGGGACAGCAAGAGGGTTGGCTTATCTTCATGAGAAATGCAGAGATTGCATCATACATTGTGACATAAAGCCAGAAAACATTCTTTTAGATACTGAACTTGGTCCAAAAGTGGCAGACTTTGGCCTTGCAAAGCTTGTTGGAAGAGAGTTCAGCAGTGTCCTGACAACCATGAGAGGCA